AGCATCATCATCATCATGCGGTTGAAGTCCGTACTGTAGTGGCGCCTGCCGCCCATCTGAGTAGAAAACAACATGTCGGGGAGGGGGTCTTTGACGCACTGCCTGGTGTAGCGGTAGTGGTGCTTGATGACGGCGTTGGCGAGAGTGATGGGTCGCTGGTTTGAGAGTGCCTCTTCTGCGTCCTCGCCGTTCCAGAAGTAGGTCATCATTGATCCCTTGTGCGCCAGACTTTGCCTGCAGTATAGAGCGGCCCTGGTAATTGCGGGGCGCATGTGTCGAGCAACTTCATGTGGAGCTATTTTGGCCAAGTCGTCAGTGATGCAATCTGGTTCAGACGCTCTGTATGGCTTGGCCTTGGCGAGGATGTCTTGCAGCTCGTAGATGTTGGCAGAGCTTTAAATGCTCCTAGTGATGCGGCTCGTGCCCCGCGAGGTGTAGTTGTTGCATCTGTCGATGATTTCCTGCTGCGTCAAGAGCTTCGCTGCTTCATTATGTCCGAAGTGCTTCGTTGCTTCTTTTGTTTTTTTTTCTGCTGCGCTGGTAGCTATGCTGCCGTCCGACTTTGTCATGAGTGGATACGCCCTTTTCTTCTGTCGTTTCCTGCCACCGAAGATCAGCAACTTCTTAGTGTATTTCTATTATGTGTAGGCGTCACCGTTGCTGTTTGCTTCCAAAGCGAGCTGGGCTTGCTCCTCCAAGAAGCGGTCGTAGTCTCTGTCGATCATCTTCACAATACTCTTCCAGGTGGTAAGGACCCACTGCTTGACGGTGTCGAGGAAATATTGATGGTCGAAATTGCCGATGTCCTGTTGGGCCACGTAGTGCATCTGGAACGTCTCGCAGTATGCGTATTGGATGGCTCCGATGGGCATCTGAAGGGTAGGATCATCGTTTACGTACTTCAGTAATTTTTGTGCTCGGCGCTTTGTTGCTGGATGATGTGGCCCGTCGTCCGAAGCCTTCCTGATGCATTTCGTAAATTTCCTGCGGCGCATGATGAAGGCCAACGTTTCTTGTGAGATGTACTCCCGGAACTTCTTCTGGTCCTCTCGAGCGAAGGGTCTCTGTGCCGCCTCCAGTATGGTCACCATGTAGTAGTAGACGTGTTCGTCGTAATTCATGTCCCATGTTGGGTGCATCGTAGAGTTGAGCTCGTTCTTGAACTTTCGCACCGCCTCTTCGGACTTCAGCTGGTTCCTATCGATCTTTGGGAAAAAATACTTAGGTGCCGTATGTCGAGCCGTCCACTGCGCTGTTGCCGTGACTGGCGTTTGGTCTTCTCTGTTGCTGTCGTGCTTCGCCTGCTTCGTCATGGTGTCGATGTCGTTGAGTGCATGGACATCTGTGGTCTTTGGCGTCCACGTCTCGTTGGTCAGCACGTTGTCTATCCGATGCTTATTGCCGCGTCCGTCGCGCCATGTGTGGTCGTCTTTGCCGTTGGAAATCTTGGCGTTGATGATGATGTACCTTCCATCCGCGGCCATCTCGCGCAGCCTCTTGCCGCTGCCGTCCTCTGTCTGTGGGAGTCCTTCTCCGCCGACCCATTGCGTTTGTACTTCACCCACCCTGCCGTTGGCGTCGGTCAGTATGATGTCGGGCTTGTATTTCCTTATGTGCCTGTTGAATGCTTCCCAGTATGTGTTCTTGTCGTCGTCGTTCTTCTTGTTGTGCGGAGCGTGGCTGCCGCAGATGGTTATATTGACGGGGCCGGTTCCGATCTTGACGATAAGGGCGCGGGGCTTGCTGACCAGCACGTGGAACTGACTCGGCTCGAAGTACTGGAGGCCGGTCGTGCCATCCGCGAACGGTTCCTCCAGATTTATCCAGAGCTCACATCCCGCATTGTAGCTGTCGTGGGGGCTGCTGATGATGTAGTAGCCGTTGCTAGTAGTGGTCCTCCGCTCGTTCCTCGCCTCCTGGATGCCGACGATATGGAGCTTGTGTTTTGGAATTGTCGTCGTAGCGCGGGCCCTCTCCACATGTGGGCGATGCGCGCTGCTTTCGTGTGCTTCTTCTGTTGCTTCATGTCGGCTTCGCGTACGCTCTCTACGTTGTAAGTAGCAAGGTTCAGCTCCACGGTCGCGTCGGTCGATGCTGTTGCGAGCGTGGCCATCAGGTGGTGCTTCTCTGCCGACCATATCGGTATTCCGATATCGGAGGTGTTGTTCCACTCTCGTTGGGTAAGTTGCTCTGTCTGGATGTTCGCGCTGGAGCAATCCTTCCCATTGGTCGAACTTAGACACTCTGATGATATCCTTGAAGTTGTGCGGGATGACATCGTAGTCTTCGCCCTTGTCATACCGCCGTCTTGTCCTCTTAGCAAGGCCGTCCGCAAGCTCGTTCCAAGGCATACCTTCGTGGCTTGGTACGTGTACCAGTGATACGTTGGTCTCGGTGCGTACCATGTCGTATATGACCTTCAGAAAGCGTAATAGGTGCTCGTCCGCCGAAGATGTCGCTATCCACTTCCATAAGTTAATGGCAGTCTCGCAGTCGGTGTGTATGTACGCATGCTGGGTCTCTGCTGTCGCCGTGAGCAACATGAGAGCTTGCACGATGGCCATGATCTCACCCGTCGTGTTCGTGATCCTGGAGTTGGGGATATCCATGGTGTGGCTCCCGTTGGCGACGCTGCTGAACGCGCCTCTGAAGGTCCGTTGCTCGAATGTCTCGCCTTCTTGCACACTAGGAAAGCCCATGCACTGCTCTCAGGTCGCCGCACGTTGTGGGAGGCGTCGGTGAAGATGTGCTTGGTGCCCTGATATCCGTTGCCTTTAGGTGTCGTACTTAGCGCATACCGTGCTGCTGGATGTAGGTCGGTTCCTTCGACATTGTACTCAAGAAAAGGCGCCGTCGTCGCTCTGATGCGCCTTCTCAGGCCCCTAGTATCTCTAAGGTCGCATGCGTATTCATCTTTCTGCTGCGCACCATGATACATGTCAATGTCGATGTGTTGTTGTTGTGAGTATGTTGTTCTCTTGGTCGTGTGAGTTTCCTTTGTCTTCTTCTTCGCTCGGAACGGTTGCATAGCTTTGGTTGATCGTCGTACTTCTTCGTCGGGCTCGCGTGACGGGTTGGTGGCTGCATCCGTCGAGGTGCTGTGTGTTGTTCGTTCGTAGTTCGTCGTGCGTCGATGTCGGAAGGGTAGCATCGCCTTGTGCTTGGGCTGTTGGTGCTGATGCTCTCGCAGATCTGCTGCTAGTAGTGGTTGCTGCATTGGTGTGTGTACTCTGTTCGGTAGCTGTATATGTTCGGCGGTGACGGTGCCCAGGGATGCTGTCTGAGCTGCCGTCCTTAGAGTTTGTTGTCGCTGCTGTGTAGTACGTGTAATTGGTTGTTCGTGTAGGTCGATATTGCAGTCTGTGGTGTCATCGGTCGGCCGTCATCTTCGTGCGTTGGCGCATTGGTCCTTGGATGTCGTCGCAGCCGGAAAGGTTGCATCGCTTGTCGTGGTGGTATTGCTCGAGACGCTGCTGTTTGATGTCTTGGTAACTGTGTCTGCGCTGTTGCTCGTTGTGGTCGTGGTCGTGGTTGACGAGATGGTAGCTCTGCGGTAGGTAGTCGTTTGGTCGGTGGACTCGTTGCGGGGGCGGTTATCTCATCCGTAAGGTCTCCATGCACCGACTTCAAGTGGGGTTCTTGGCAGTCCCACCTCGCCCCGCTATGGCTAGGGGTCACTGTGCCCTCGGTGGGGGCGAAGGTGGGGGCGAACCTCGGACCTTGTGGTTGCTTGTCGTGCGTGCTTGTAGGTGGGTCGTTGGGAGGTCGGCTTGTTGCTGGTGTTGTGATGTAAGTTGTGGGCGCACTTATGAGGCCTCCATGCGCCGACTTCAAGTGGGGCTCGTGGCGGCCCCACCTCGTCCCGCTATGACTAGGGGTCACAGTGCCCTCGGTGGTCGGTGGGGGCGAACCCCAGGCCTTGTGCTTGCTTCTGTTGTCGGTGGGGGATGTCTCGGCTGCCCTCAGCTTCGCCCCTTGGGCGCTCGGGTAGGCTCCGTCTCCGCCATGGGGATGGTGGGGGTGGCGAGCTAGGGCGGACCTCGGGGGCGCAGGTAGCGGCCGTCCTACCCCCCCCCTCCCCCCCTGCCCTTCACCATCCCCCCTGGTAGGCGCGGGCAGTACTCGTCTTGCCCCCCCACCCTTCGGGCCCGTCTCGAAGTTTGAACCTTGCCTCACCAGGGCAGCCGAGTCGTGCACGCGTGTCGTTGGCTCGTCGGTGCGTTGTTGTCCGCCGTCGCCTTCGTCTGTGTCAGACTTCGCGTCGTTCAGACAGTTGAATCGGTTGCGCAGTGGTACTGGTAGTGGTGCTCTGTTCCACGTGGGTAGATGTCGCCTCCTTTGTCGTTGTGTTATTTGCTTATGTTGCGTCTGTCTATATTCGTCGTCGTCTTTTTCGGTGCGACCTTCGATCTTGGTGTCGCGTCGTGCATGTGGTAGCTGCCCATCTCGTCATCATGCTGTCCGTGTCCGTCCAGTCGGTTGTTGGTTTTTATGTTTCCTTCGAGCGTCATGTCGATTGCTCGTAGTCGTCGCTGCACTCGTGCCATTCGGCGTCTAAACGAGATCTTCTGTATTTCTGCTGTCGTCGGGCGGGTCATTCTGTTTGGCTGTGATGTCGTGGGTGCTGGTATCGTCATTAGATGTTCTTTGCTTGTCGCTGTGCAGGAATGTGTCCTCGATGCCATCTATCATGCCAGGTGGCACACAGCTGAGATACTGGTCGCCCCTCTTGTCGGAGTGAGAATGAATTCAGTATTCGTGCGAGGTCGTCTCCTCTAAGCCAACATGGCTGTTCGACTCTGGTGCCCAGTCGGGCTGGGGTCGGTTCGGCCTTGGCGGTGCATTCGCCTTTGCCTCTCCTGGCCTGACCCTGGGTGGCGTCGGGGTCTGAAATCGGACTCGTCGGTCACTGCGTGTTCTCGGACCTCCTGCACAACGCACGGTGTCCAAAATACCAGCTGGAGGGAGCCCCTTCCAGTCCAACCTTGTGCGTAGCCCTGATGCGCTTACCGCTGAAGTATATTCCCCACTGCACGGGCGCAATACTGCCGTCGCTGATCCCCGCGTCGGTCGGCATTGCAAGGCGTTTGTTGTTTGCTAAATGCTGGTAAATGTGGTTGTCATCATGCGCGCCAGCGGTCCCCAAAGCTGTCGTTGGCATGATATGTGCTAGTGTTGTGACCTCCCCTATTGGGAGAAGCTGCTGTACCGCGTTGCAAGTCGCCGCCACCGCAGGGGTCGGAAGGCTGGTTGCTTCGTGGTATTCACAGTAGCTGCTGTCATTGGTTGGCGTCTCCGCCGCGGTCAGTCGCATGGTCGTTTGGAGCCGACCAGGTGCTCGGTGCACTGGCATTGGACTATCCCGCTGAGCCAGCAGCTCCCCAGCGAGGTCGGTCCCACTCAGTTTTTGAGCTGGCGGCACCCTCCGGGCCCTCGTCATCGTTGGCTCGCACAGGGATTCGGTCTATTGGGTCTAAGAATCCGTCTCCGATGTCTTGTATGCGGACCTTCCTGGCTGGCAGTTCGGTTCGGTCGCTTCTCTTTAGTGCGGATCTCGTCCTCGGTGTGGGTGCCGACTTGCTTCGCTCAGGTGTGCCTATGTGGAATCGTGGGGGTGGAAGGACTGGTTGGTGCGGCTGTGTCGGGGTGATTGCTGAAGGAATGGGTACTCGTGTCGGTGTTCGAGGTGATGCGTCTTCGCCGTCGTTGCTCAAGTCGATGAGCATGGCGGAAGTGGGTTGGGGCTCGCTTGATGCAAGCTCGTGCTGCCTGGCTACAGGTGGGGCTGAGAGTGATCGTACGTCTGGAAATATGTTGTTAGTCGATGCTGGGGTCGTTAACTGAGCTGGTGGTCGGTATCCAAACGGCGTTGGTTGCTCAGTTGGAATGGGCGTCAGGTCGACATGTTGGTTTGGGTTGAAGGTGCGGGGGTCGATAAGGTCGGGGTCTTCGTGAGTGTCGGGTATGGGGGTTGACGTTCCATCGTAGCCGTCATCGGCGATTGGCGTAGGTGCTATGCTGCCGTCTGTCTCGTCGCTGTCGTGGGTCTTCTGATCGGCCGTCGTAGGGGTGTTGTCGGCAACTGTGATCATGCCTGGGCGTAACGCCTGGGGTTGTGCTGTCGTTGGGTTGGGCATTGGTGGCAATGGGGTCGGTGTGGCTTCGTGTTGTGCCGATGCGATTCCCAGCTCGGTCAGGCTGAACCCACTGTCGGTGGTCGATTGGGCCCTGTACTCTGGGTGCGTATCTTGCTCCATGATGGCCAGCTGCATGGCGTAGGGCTCGAGGTCTGGGCGCATCTCGTCGGGGGGTCATGGTAACACAGCTTGTAGGCACTGTGCCGTCTCGCGTTGGGCTTCCTTCTCGATCTCGCCTGCGAGGCATTGCTCTCGTCGTCGGTTATCCTCAGCCTCGCTGAACTCGCGCAATAGATCCATGACCGCCTGGCGGTGAATGTCCTCGTGGGTCTTGTCAGCAATCGCGATAGCTTCTTCCAGTTGTTGTTGCCGTCGTAGATGCCACGCTCGTTATTCGTCCATTTTGAGCTGGGCTTTGGCTGGATGCTCTTCGTAGGCGATCTTCTGCTGGTACATGTGCCTGTCGTTGTTCCGTGCCTATTGGCCCTGCCACCCCTCGTACGTATGGAATTGGTTCTTCGACGCCTCTGCGAACTCTTCTCGCATGTCACCATAAGCTTCGAGTAGTATGTATTGGACGTGTGCTTGTTCCTGTTGTTGCATTGCGGCCCTCAGATTCTTCATGGCATGGTAGCACTGCTGCTCCATCTCGTTTCGGCTCTCGACGTACATGGCCTGGAGTCCTTCAGCTTTGTGTTGTACATGCTGTTCTTTGCGATTGATCACCCCCTCCCTATGCCCATCGTGCTGGACCTTCGCTTCATATATCTTTCGCATTTCAGCCTTGAGCTCTTCGCTTTGATGTTGTTGCAGTTCACATAGTCGGAGATGCAATTGGTGCCGCGCTTGATGTAGTCATTATATTTCTTTGCGGGCCTTTGCTTCGTAGTGCTTGTTCTGTTGCATTTCGTGATGTCGCAGAGCATGTTGCTGATCGCCCACACTCTTGTATGCTTCTGCTTCACGGAGTTCGGCTCGTACCCGAATTTTGTAACTGTCTGCGTCCTTCTGGTGCGACTCGTCCTGTCTCTTGAGGGCGTTCTTTGTTTTCCTGGGTGCCAGTTCCGCCGCCTCCTGTTCTCGTTGCTGGAGCTTGGTTTTCATGTAGTTCATCTTCTCGTTCATGGTCCTGATCTCATCCCGCTGCTCGGCGTTCATCCTGCTCTGCGCATGCTCCATAGCATTTCCCTTTTGCTGGTCCTGCATGCCGATTCGTTTGCGGATGTCGGTGATGAGCTTCTTTATGGCATCATTGTCGTGGTCTTGTTCGCCGTTGCACTAATTCAAAACATCGTTGTTGGCCTCTTTCTTGGGGTATGGCGTACGACCTCTCGCACCTTTATGGGGTCATTTCGTCTTCTTCGTCGCCATCGCAACTGCAGTCGTCCGCTATCACCGTCGATATCATCATCTGCGTTGCCTCGGTGATTTGGGCCTTGAGGGCCTCAGTGTTATGGTCGATCTGGTCGCTCTCGTTCCCGAGGTCCTTCATCTGTTGGCTGGCCTCGTTCTTTCGCGTGGTCCTCTGATCGATTTTGTGCCTGTAGCCGTTGATCCGCTGCACAGGCTCGGTCAGCATAGCGATGGTTGCCTTAGTGATGGCGATCTCTTTGTGGAGCTGTGCCGCGTCTACCTGAGCTTGCTGGGCTCCCATCACCTGGTCAGCTAGCCTACCGAGCCTGTTGACCGTTGTCTTGAACCACACCCTCTTGATGTCGCCCTCTGTGGGGGGAAGCGAGAAGTTCTCGTGCTCTTTCGCCACCTGGATCAGCGCTGGGGTGATGGGCTCGATGATTGTAATATGCCTTTTCGTCAAGTACGCCATGTAGTTTTTGAAATTGTTCTCGTGCGTGTATTATTTGGGAACTCGGTTTTTTCTTCTCGGTGTGTTCCTGGATGCGCGTCGCCTCCAGTTGTTGGTGTTGTCTTTTTTTGTGGTTGTAGTCGTTCTGGTTGTTGTGGCCGTTGTACTTCTGGTGGTCGTTGGTATCGTCCTAGTCGTTGTTGTTCTTCTGGTGGCCGTTGTTGCTCTTGTAATAATACTTGTGGTTGGACTTCGATCTCCCGCGCGTCTGAGATCTCCACGGCCATGGTTGCGCCCCAACGGGCCAGGACTGCGCCATCACGTGCTCGTGTGGCTGCTGCTGGTATTGAGGCTGCTGCTGCTGGTACTGTGGCTGCTGCTGGGCGCCGTGGTGCTCCGAGAGTGTCCTCGCGGCGGACAGGACACGGAGCAACGCGCGCGCTTGCGCTCGTTGTTGCCTCTGGCGCCGATGCCAAGGTGGTTCGCCTTCACGAGGCGTCCTTGCGGGGCGCCTGCCGCGGCCGCGGCGCCGAGCGATGGCCCGCGGCGCGCGAACCCGAGCACGAGGGGGCGACCGACGAAGGCGACGACGGCCCCGCCCCCCTCAGCCCGTGGCTTCCTCCTCCTCCTCCTCCTCCTCCTCCTCTTCCTCCTCCTCCTCCTCCCCGTCCTCCTCTTCATCGTCAGGCGGCACGTCAACCTTCTCATCATCATACCCTTCTTCCCCCGTGGCCTTCAGCGCTTTCGTTCACGTCACTCCTCCCTCCGCCGTCTCTTTCTAGTACTCCGAGTCATCTTCTTCCTCGTGCGTATCTCCCCCGCCATCATCGTCATCATCTCGGCTCCCTCATAGCCATCACTACCACCACCACTACCACCGTCATCACCAGCATCATCAGCCTCAGCATCATCAGCATCAGCATTATCATCGTCATCATCATCAGCAGCAGCATAATCAAGAATCATAATCATCAGCATCATCAGCATCAACATCATCATCATCATCATCATCATCATCATCATCATCATCATCATCATCATCATCATCATCATCATCATCATCAGCATAATCATCATCATCATCATCATCATCATCATCATCGTCGTCATCATCACCATCATAATCGTCATCTTTACCATCATCTTCAGCATCAGCAGCATCGTCATCAGCATCAGCATCAGCATCAGCGGCAGCAGCATCATTCTGGGCGATGTGCACTGCGCGCGTTCCAGCGACAGGGGGGCCGTCATCGTTAGCATCCTCACACTCACCATCATCGCCACCTCCTCCCTGCTTCTCTTCTGCACCGCCCCCTGACCCCCGAAGGGTCGGAACGGAGACGGAGGCGGGGGCAGGCTCCACCACCGACGCGGCGCCGCCGCTGCCTTCGAAGAAGCGGGCTCGCGTGAAGGGCGGCATCTACGCCGAGCTTACCGAGAGCTCCAGTGGGGAAGGGGGGGGGCAGGGTTCGTTTCGATTCATCCGATTCGATTCGATTCGACTTCGATGCGTTCCGACTCCGATTCGATTCGGCTTTGGGTTCCGAGTTGCATTCCGATGTTTTAAGGAGGCATTACCACTCTGCCGATTTCCGCCGATTCGACTCCTCCCGACTTGGCCGCCGATCCCCGCCGATCCCATGAATTTCGATCGCCGATTCGACTTATCGAGTCGAGTCTGGGCTCCCCTGGGGGGGCAGGCACGGCGGGACCCCGAGATCTTCGCGTCGCAGTTTGCTCGCAGCGGGCGGTGTTGCCCCTTTGAGGCCCGGGGCCAGCAAGGATCGATCTTGCCCATGAGCTGCCACAGAAAGATGGGGGCCTGGGGCTCCAGTCGTGGTTATTCACGATGTTGTTTTTCTCCCGACGTCGGATCTCCGGGGAGGTGGGCAGTGGTTGGGGTGAGGGTGTCCCTGACATCTTCGCGTGGTGAGAAAGTGCTCGACGCGGAGATTCCCAGATGCATGTCTTAATTTTCTTGGCACGTCGCGCTGACATTGGTTGTTTGTGAGCATTTGGCTGTGTCCCTGTATTGGCGGCCCCTCCTTGGGGTGTTGAAACCAGCGCCTCTCTCGGGACCTCCTCGCAATCTGCCAGATCAAGGAGGAGAGGACATAGGAGGCCTAGGGATAGCAGAGAAGTGATGAAGAGAGTGAGGAGGAGGAAGATGAGGATGAGGGGGAGGAGGATGAGAAGAGGGGGATGAGGGGGAGGATGAAGAGGGGGAGAAGAATGAGGAAGACTAGGAGGAGCAGGATGAGGACGCGGGCCCCCTCCTCTTCCTCCTGCCCCATCCTCCGCCTCACCCTCATCCTCCTCCTCCTCCTCATCCCCCTCCTCATCCTCCTTCAACTGGGCCGCGCCGACGAGTCGACACTCACGAGCCTCCGGTTCGCAGACGACATCTTACTGATCAGCCAAGCCTTACGCAACATGAAAACAATGCTTTCCGACTTGATCGCCTCTGCAAAGCCACATGGTTTGGAGCGACACCCGATTAAGACCGAAATCATGACCAACCAAACTGGGCACCACGACCGGGCGACTGCAGTAGCAGAAATGGGCATCGAAATCGTACCACGTACTAGCACCGTCAAGTACCTAGGCCAGACGATCACCTTCCAGGACGCCCCCGCGACTGAAGCAAAGCACCGGATTCAAGCTGCGTGGGCTTGTTTAAGTGGCCATAGACAAGAACTCACCAGCAAAACCTGCCCATTGCGCCATCGACTACGACTATACAGGGGCACAGTCATCCCTACCATGACGTACGGCGCGGAAACCTGGACCTTGACAGAACCTCTCAAGCAGAAGTTGCGCCGAACGCAGCGACGCATGGTCAGAATAATCATCGGGACGCCCAGGAGACGCACTGCAGCCGCACCACCATCGCACCGCGACGCAGCAGCAAACCAGAACAACGATCTCCACTGCGACGCTGCAGCTGCTGGTCCACGCGACTTAGACCATTCCAGCTATTCCACCAACTCCGATGTACGCAGCGACCCACCCACCGACCAATCCAGTGTGCAAGACACTGGCAGCGACGAGGAGGATACGTAGCCCGACTGCATGCGGAATGACGACCTGGAGCTGTGGTCTGACTTCATCCGCAGAAGCTCGAGGAGGGCGGAGCCACTCGTGCTCATACACAACAGACCAGATGCATCGCAGATTCCGCTTGAACGGAACTTGCATCTTAATGTACGTCAGCGTGGACAACGGCGGCACGGGGGACGGCCAGAGCGGTGAGACGACGACGTTCGGAACTTCCTGCACAGTTTGGACAGCGACGCAGGAGAGGGACAGATCAGGGCAGCCACCCAATCTAGACATTCCGAGCACAGCAACACGAACGACCTACGATGGATCTGGGCCGCTGTGTGCACAGAGTGGTGGTCATCAGATGAGCGGGCATACGTCTCATAAGTTTGAATAGAAGGTCTTCCTGTCGAGGCCACGGCCCCCACGCCATGCCTTAATGGGCACGGGCGAGCTCCACAGAGGAGCACGCACGACTCTGGCGTTTGTTCGTTCGTTCGTCCTCCTCCTCCTCTCCCTCCTCCTCGTCCAGGACATCCTCACGATCTGCTCGGGTTCCCATTCGGCCCCCTGGCCCCCGCCCCCTCCTCGCTTCCTTCTCACCCCAGTTACCGGCCTGTTTCGTTTTGTTGGGCTTCTGGGTCAGCGAGCCCCCTGGCCTCCTCGTCCCTGTGCTCCTCTTTGCCTGCGCCTTTCCCTCCCCCCTGCCCTGGCTTGTCGGGGAACGAGTAGGCCCCCCAGCGAGCTCGCCGGCGGCGGGGAGGGGGGAGAGGGACGGGGGTGAGGAACGAGGAGGCCGCCCCACGAGTGCGCACTCGCGCGCGCGCGCGGGGCTCGCGGCCCAATCGAGTACCAAGCGGGGCCCGCCAGCTGCCGCCCTCTGGTAGTCTGCTCCCCCCCCTGGGGGCCCGTTCGGGGCAAAGTACGGCGACAGCGGCGCCAGGAGGAGGAGGAGGAGGAGGAGGAGGATGAGGAGGAGGAGGAGGAGGAGGAGGAGGAGGGCGAGGAGGAGGAGGAGGAGAAGGAGGAGGAGGAGGAGGAGGATGAGGAGGACAAGGAGGAGGAGGAGGAGAAGGATCCCCCCTTCCTTTCTCCCTTGTCAGGGTTTCAGCCCCCCCCTGCACGGGGCCCCTCCTCGCCCATGGGGGCCAGGAGCACGCCCTGGGCAGGCCGAGAGTGGCACTGGACACTCGCCATTCCTGCGCACACAAATGGAAAACCTCGCGGGGATACCGCTAGTTATCCGCCCCTGGTCGTGGCCAGGATCGGAGACTCATCCCCCAAGCGCCGTTACCTTTACCTTTTACCTCCTCCTCCTCCTCCTCTCCTCCTCCTCTCCTCCTCTCCTCCTCCTCCTCCTCTCCTCCCCCACCTCCTCCCCCTCCCCCTCCTCCTCCTCTCCTCCTCTCCTCCTCTCCCTCCTCCTCCTCCTCCTCTCCCCTCCCCTCCTCCTCCTCCCTTCCCCCCCCCTCCTCCCTCCTCCTCCTCCTCCTCCTCCTCCTCCTCCTCCTCCTCCTCCTCCTCCTCCTCCTCCTCCTCCTCTTCCTCCTCTACCTCCTCTTGCTATCTTGTGTGTCATCCTTTGCCGCTGGGCACCGCTGGTTGACAAAAGTGCTGCCAAGGGCCGCCGCCGCCGCCGCCGCAACGCGTTAAGCAACGGCTTCTGATTCCACTGCCTCGTGGTAGCGCCAGATCCACACTGCGGAGGGCGGGGAGGAACGGGGGGTGGTCGGGAGGGAAAAAAAAACACACACACAAACAATGAAGCGTCGATTCCCAGGACAACCTGGGGAAATATGGGAAGTGGGGGGAAGACGAAGACCCAGAGAATATGGAAGAATATTGGGGATCTTGGGATCTGTCTGTATTTACTCGTGTGTCCCAGAGCCCCTTCAGGTGGGCGCTGTTCTTTTTCCCCTCTGGCTTTATTATCTCAGGCGTCGGTCGGCCCTGGCGCTGGCCGGCCGCCAGGCGCGGCGCCTCTCCTTTTAGAAAGATGAATCTGCTGCGGCCCGGGGCCACCTGCGGCACAGGCGCAACCCGGCTCACGCCAGCTCCGGATTAGCCGGCCGCGGGTATCTTCCCTGGCCGCACCGCCTGAAGCCGCCGCTCGCCGTCCTCGCCCGCGCGGCCGCCCACGGCCGCCTCTCGCGGTCTCCTCCTGCCTTTCTCCCCGTCCGCCTTTTCCCTCCCCCTCTTCCTCCTATTCCCCCCCTTCGCTTTCCCCGGCCTCCTCCTGCTGATTCTCTTCTGGGCTGGGCCCCCAAACGGGGTGGTGACCACACCGTGTGGAGAGTCGGCGGGGATTCGGGATCACCGCACGGTTTTGGGACTCGGGTCGTTCTCCGAGGATGTCTCGGGCGACTGGAGCCTCCAGGGTCCCAAAGCCGTGCGCTGACGGACCGTGCGGTGAGGTCTTGGGGGATGTCGAGGTCACCGCACGGTCTGTCGCCGCACCCTTTCGGGTCTCCGAAGGTTCGCCAGCGTCGTCCTCGCTTGGCCAGCTCCCCAGGGGTGGCGAAGGAGCTCCCCGTGTCAGTCGCACCTTCCGGCACGGAGCCGATCCGGTGGCACGCGCAAGGAGCGCGCACAGGCAGGCAGTACCCGATGAACACACAGAGAGGGGGGGTGGGCAGACGCACAGAGGCACAGAGAAGCAGCATCGAGAGAGAGAGAGGGAGAGAGACATAGATGAATGAGGAGAGGGAGAGAGAGAGAGAGAGGAAGAGAGAGGAAGAGAGAAAGAGCGAGATATTGATAATGATATACATACATATACATGAAAACATACACAGACATACAGGCATACGAAGAGAGGGAGGGAGGGAGGGAGGTTGGGATCTATATATAGAGAGAGAGGCAAAGACAGACAAACTAAACATAGACAAACTGAACATACACACTCACAGACATGCATGCGCACACACACACACACACACACACACACACACACACACACACACACACACACACACACACACACACACACACACACACTCACACACACACACGCAGCCGCGCACGAACACTCTGTAAGTGGCAGGCGCTTAGCTCGAGACCGAGCATTCGCGGCGCCCTGTCCTCTCGCCCCCCTCTCGCTGCGGATCCACTGGGTGGCCTCTCCGCACGCGGGAGCTGCACGGCGCGTTCCGGCGAGGGCCCCGCCTCCGAGGGGCCGCTCGACTGCCGCCTCCTCCCCGGCGGGAGCGCAGGCGGACGGCGGCGGAGGCCGAGCGGCGCCGGCTCCGCCAGCGGAAGCCGGCGGGAGCAAGAGCCGCCCCCCCCCCCCTCCCCCCCAAGAGACGTCGTGCTTGCGGGGTTCGTCGGCCACGCGCAGAGGGGGGTAGGGGGGGGGAGGGGGGGAGGGCTTCTCGGGAGCGCCCCTGCCTCTCAGGAGGCGCGGGCCCTCTCTCTGCGTAGATGCGAGGCCGGCGCCTTCTCTGAGAGGCAGCCTCCCTCCAAGGAGCCCTCCCCCCTCCCCCTAGCCCCCTTGTGCGCGCCGGAAACCTCCTCCTCCTCCTCCTCCTCCTCCTCCTCCTCCGCCTCCTCCTCCTCCTCTTCCTCTTCCTCCTTTCTGGGCGCGGGCCCCGTCCGATTGCGACATTTTTGCGCGGTGGTGTGATGTGTGGCCTGGCGGCCGCGAGAGGCGGCACATGGGTTTTGCCTTCTGTATGTTGCGCCGTTGGCATGGCAGGGTCGAGCCGACGCACGCAGTGCACGCGCTCTTGGAGAGGCGATGTTATGCACCTCGCGGCAGGCGAAGCCATCGAAACGGTGCGCAGCAGCTCCGGTATGCTACGGGCACTTCTGAAGCAGTCCAGGTGGAGCCGATGCACGCAGTGCACACAATCTTGGAGGGGCGATGTTGTGCAGCTCGAGGTTGCGAAGCCATCGAAACGGTGCACATCAGCTCCGGTATGCTATGAGCACCTCTGAAGCAGTACAGCGGTGCCGATGCACGCAATGCACGCAGTCTTGGGGGGGCGATGTGATACACCTCGCGGCTGCGAGGCCATCGAAACGGTGCACTGCAGCTCTGGTATGCTACGAGCACCTCTGAATCAGTACAGCGTCGCCTCTTGGAGCTGTAGCCCTCTTCAGGCAGGGAGACGAGCAGGAACGTCCAACCCAGCCACACTCCGCGTTGATGGCCTTGCTGTCCCCGGCGCCTGGCGTCTGACGCCATCGCTTCCGCATCAGACCAACCTCCACATCACTGATAGCCCCCTCACCCGCACTCCCTCCGAGTGGCACCCCCCTCACCCGCCATCCCTCCGACTGGGCAGGCTCGTCCAGTTCTTCCAGCCGTGCCTCTTCGTCTGGCAGCTCTGGCTCGTCGGCCGCCTCCAAGCCTGCCTCCAAGACTGCCAGCAAGGGCCTGCCGGGGGGGGGGCGCCCAGCTGCAGTGTGGGAAGTGAGGTCCGTCAGGTTGCGACGCTGCGCGCTCCAGCCGCCACCACTTTGCTCCCAGAATGCCCGAGACGCGGGCAGACCGATGGGGACGATCGCACTGGATGCTGGGGGGGTGGAGCAACTGTCGGGGCGGACGGAGGGCGAGGGATCGGGAAAGGCGGGGGGCAGTACGATATCTGCGGCATGCAGCTGGGTTCAGCCCCGACGCCAGGCCCGTTCCTCGATACATGGCCCGCTCCTGGCGCTGGGAAACCCGGCTGCGCGCGGCTGGTTCGCTATGCCCCCCTTTGCCATCTCGCACGCTCGTCCGTCCCGAGGCTGGTGAGGAGGGGTCGATCGGGATCGGCGTGGATGGTCCTGGCGCGCGCTGTGGCCGGCGAGCTGCTGTCTGCGAGGCCCTCTCGTGCTAGAGGACGCCGTCCTGCACTCGAATAAACAAGAAGAAGAAGAGACTGCACCAACATAATTCCCTGTCAACGCGCTTAGTAAGGTAGCGCGCCTTCATCTAGGGTGCCCTAGTGTCCTTGCCTCTGCGGCCCGCCCTTTTCCCGTCTTCGCTGGTCGCCCCGCTGCCCAAACGATTCCAACTTCTGCCTCCAAGGGTCTAGCGTCCTTGCCACCCATCCTTGATACACGCTTTGCCTGTAGCAACTTCCCGAGCTCTGCGCGGATTTCTTGGATCGACGTTGGACCCCCATGGACCACGACGGCCGTCGTGGAATTGGGTTTCTCGTGCTTATTCCCCAGTCAGTGCTTGCACTGAAGGGGTCCTAGCGGAAGTTGAAGGATTTGGCGAAAATTCCCCGCCGATTTTGGTGACAGGCTGGGTTCCCGGGTTCCCGGGTTCCCGGGTTCCCGGTTCCGGGTTCCCGGGTTCACGGTTCCGGTGTCCGGGCCGATTTCGGAGGGCGGCGAGGTTCCCGGGTTCTTGGGTTCTTGGTCGATCTTGTTATCGATCGGTCTCACCATCGATCTCAGTACCGATTTTTCGATCGATGTCAGCATCGATCTCACAATCGATTTCATTATCAATATCACAAGCCATCTCACTAGAGATCGCATGAGCGATCTCGCGATCGATCTCACTATCGATCTCATTGACTCGATGTCATTCTCGGTCTAACGATGGACATTATAATCGTCCTCATTATCAATTCCACTATCGATCTCAGCATCGATCTCACAATCGATCTCAAGATCCATCGTAACAATGTTCAAATCATCCACTGATTGGGTTTTCTCAGGTGTCATACGTATATATATATATATATATATATACATAGATAGTTCGATAGATAGATCGATAGATAGATATATAGATAGATAGATAGATAGACAGATTCCCCAAGCAGTGCTTGCACTGAGGGGGTCCTAGCGGACATTGAAAAAGTTGGCGAAAGTTTCCCGCCAATTTCCGTGGCCGGCTGGGTTCCCGGGTTCCCGGTTCTGGGTTCCCGGGCTCTTGGTCATCGGTTCCGGTCCGACTTCGGTGGGTTCAGGGTTCTCGGGTTTCCCGGTTCCCGGTCGATCTCCTCATCGATCTCTTTACCGATCCCATTTCAAACCATCCATTGATTGGGTTTTCTTTTGGTGGTACACGGCGGCGCCACGGGCCACGGGCGCCGCCCCCCCAGGGAGGGGGGTCCAGCGCAGACCCATGAAGTCTGCGAGGAGCGCCAAAAGTTGCTGTTTATGTAGTTTTTTCTTGTTCGATCCGAGTAGAAGGGGTCCGAGTAGATGGGTGAGAGGGGGCGTGCCGTCTCAGAAGGCTCGGATGTCCCCCAGCCTTGGGAGAAGTGCCTTAAGCCTTCCCCGAAGGGTTTCTGAGAAGCTCCGCCGCCCCCTGAGAGGGCCGTTTCCTTCGCACTTTCCCCCCTCGCTCGCCGCCGATAGTCCTCACAAATGGGGTCCGAGCAGAGATGGGGGCGGAGAATCGCGCCGCATCGCCGAAGAATCGACGATGCGGCTCGATGTGGAGCCCGATTTTCTCCACTCCGACGTCCCCGCATCACCGACGTCGCCGATGCACGCCGATGCATCGCCGATACCTCGGCGATGCATTGCCGTTGCGGCGCGATCCTCCGCCCCCATCTACTCGGATACA